CTTAAACACGCCCCCTCATTTCGCGAATCGGATTCATCATATATCTTGAGCACGCCCTCTCATTTGGCAATTCCGGTTCAAAATATGTCTTAAACACGCCCCTCGTATCTCTTAAACACGCCCCCTCGTTTGGCGATTCCGGTTCCTCATATATCTTACACAGGCCCCCTGACTTGCCGATTCGGGCGCATCATATATCTTAAACATGCCCATCATTTGGCGATTCGGGTCCATCATATATCTTAAACACACCCCCTCATTTGCCGATTCCGGTTCATCATATCTTAAACACGCCCCATCATTTGGCGATTCGGGTCCATCATATATCTGAGGGGGGCACAGCCCCCCCACATGGCAAACGCAATGCTTGCATGATGGGTTTCCAAGAGAGGCTTGCACGGCTCAAAAAAGTGCGGGTTGGGGGGGCTTACCCCCCCGTTTGCAAACAGAACTCGCATGGTAGGATTCCACAACACTCACATTCTTTGAAGCAAGCTTGCACTGCTTAAAAAAGCAAGGCGGTTGGGGGGGACCCAGCGCCCCCCCATTTGCAAACACAATGCTTGCATGATGGGTTTCAAAAAGACTCATATGCTTTGAAGCAAGCTTGCACGGCTCCAAAAAGCCCGGAGGGGGGGTGGCCCGCGGTCGAGGGGGAGCGTAGCCCCCCAGTTGCAAACAGAATGTTCGCATGTGGGTTTCACAGAGACTTTTGAAGCAAGCTTGCACGGCTCAAAAAGCCGGGGGTTAGGGGGGTGCAGCCCCCTGCCAGTTGCAAATACCATGCTCGCATGATGGGTCTCGAAAAGACTCATATTGTGCGTTGAAGCAGGCTTGCACGGCTTGCCCTCCCAACTCTTTTTTATTTATTTAGATATTCCTTTCCTTTTATTTTTATGTGGTTTTGCCTTTCTCTCTTTCTCTATTTGTTCCGTTGATTATTTCATTTGTTACTTTCTTTCCTTCTTCGTTCTGTCTTGCTTTCGTTCTGTCCCTACCTGCTGCCCTTCAGTTCCCATGAGAATAAAGAAGAGAACATATACGCTTTCCTATGAAAACATAGAGAAATAAAGGTTTCCTGCCAAAACACAGAGAAAATTTGCGAAAACTAGAGGTTCTGGCTATTAGAATATAGGAAAATAGAGGTTTCCCTATGAAAACACAGCGACAATAAAGGTTTTCCTACGGGAATACAGAGAACCCCTTCTCCACCAAAAAGGGCCAAAGAAAAACAACAACAGCCAAACAAACATGGGTCCCCAGTTGTAGGTGTTGAAAATACGTACATCATTCGGAAAGTATTCCAACAGCTCCAGCCGAAAGGTGGTTGCTGATGAAGGCAGCACCCTTGCCATGTCTTCTTGCCACTGAGATTGTAGCCCTGTGGTTACAACCAGAGCTGCTAATGCAGCCATGTTCAACGGTCACGCGATGGCCACTCTGGCAGCACTTAGCGACCATATCTCATCAACGACGCAATGATACGGCACGTTGTCTGATGTTTTCGAGGCTCCTTGTTAAGGGCGACGAGCACCAGGAACATCGTGATGAATATCAGGAAGCCGATAGCGAATCTGTCGCACAGGCTTGAGACACAGATGTGCCAGCTTCGTGAACTAATGACTAAAGAGCTTCGAGCCTTGGCATGAAGGCCGTGCGGTCTATGCAGTGCACCGTCACCGCACCTTGCCACATGTAGCATCTTTGCAAAACACGTGCAATGTCTCACCGTCACACTGCTCTCTCGCTTGGACATGACAGTATATACACCTGCCCAGTGAGAGTCAGCTTTGGGAAAAAACGCTCGGGATGCTTACGCGAGAGACCGCACGGTTTTTCGTGATATCTCATCCACCCGACCCACAAACACTGCAGTCCCAGGACGAACATGTGCGGCCTCCATGCGTCTGAGCCATACTGCAATCTTCGAAGTGATGGCTGCAAAGCACAGGGTTGCATTCCTGTGCGAGGTCGCCGGCACTCCCGGAAGGCACTATGTACTGAACTTGATTCGGTGCTCCTGGCAGCCGTGGGTGCTGGAAATCAGAATAGTTGTGTTGTCCTGGCGGGAAGCCACAAGTCCGGGACAAAGCATGACAAATTCTGTAGCCGTTGCTGCACAGGGTGACTTAGACACACCCAGACCACAACCATTGGCTTACCTAATTGACAACTGCAGATGTGCTTGTTGGCTGTGGGCACTCTCCGAAACGACGCTTGTAATTTCTTGATACAGGCAGGTGTGTTTCGAGCTTAGTGATAGCGCGCTGTTGTGTCAAGCACAATGCCGCCCCGCCCTCACATAGCCCGCTGGGCTGGCACTGAATCGTAGTAGTAGTAATAGTAGTAGTAGTAGTAGTAGTAGTAGTAGTAGAAGTAGAAGTAGTACTAGTGGTAGTAGTAGTAGTCGTCGTCCGTCGTCGTAGCAGTTAGTGGCAGTAGCAGTAGCAGTAGCTGTAGGAG